GCAAATTATCATGGTGCAAGGATCAGCCATGATGTAAGATTATTTTTCCTCCTGAACAGCCATTTGTACTTGTCTAGGGGTCTTACCAATCACTTCGCTAATACATTACACAGGATAACAGAATTTCAATTTTTCTCCTTCCATGAGATGCAACCTTTATTTAATTCGACGTAAAAGAAACCCCAAACTGATCTTGTTTTCTGGCTTCGCAAGATATTTTTGTCAATCTTTGACGTTATAATAAACAAAAGGTGTTATAAACGTATAAAAATCGGTAAGAACCTTTGACGGTACAAAACTGTAAGAATAATGATATTTTGTCTATTTTATTGGAAGAAATGTCATAGAAAAATACTAGGCTTAAATCCATAGATTGATGTCCTGGAGTGTATACGCTAGAAACGTCGATTTTAGAATTCATAGCAAAACCCTTGTAGTGTGACAGGCACATATACACGCGATGCAGGTTTCCCTCACAGGCCATACTACATAGTGGCAGGCTCTAGCAGAAACGGAATCGTTTGATGGATCTCGCAGTACTCCCAATAAGCCGGCGTCCCTTTCCCAAAAATTTAACAAGCGGACAAAACGCTATTATAAAATAGTCACAAAAAAGCTGGCATGGCCGAGTTCGGTCAGCCAGACTTAGTCTGGACGACGGCTAGCAGAGCATAGCATGGTTTGATGGAGGCCCTGAGTCCAGCCAGTGTCTATTGGTGCGCGGTGGCGGCTGCTGCGACAGAGAAGACAGCCGATTACACGCCAGAACTACCCAGCTAAACGTGAGTGAAGACGTCCCCAGGGAAGCGGGGCAGACGCGCGCCATGACTCGTGAAAAGGAATAGCAATAACAATCAGTTCTGGGATCGTTTAAAATATGGGTAACGCCTTCTCCACTAGCGAACCGAACTCGCGGCCGCAATTGCGGCTGTAGCTACACTTACCTAAGCATCATCAGTGTCACATTGTGTTCGATCACGTTCGCCGGATGGTCGAAGCGAAACCATAACTTTTCCTGAACAAATCCTGAGACCCCACCTATATACAACGCATTGTCCACCGGCAGGCGTGCGGCGCGGGCGTGGACTCGCGTCGGAAGGCGCTCCCTGCTGCGTGTTATTAGGAAAGCGGCCAGCCGCGGTCAGCGCACGTGGGAAGTGCGCCACATGCGCCGCGATAATTACGGCCAGGCAACACACAGATTGGCGGAGAAGGACGCGTTCGGCGAGGGGTGACAGACACGCGGCCTCACCTATAACTTCGACACTACTATTGTGATGTTGGCACCACCGAGCCTTGCACCCCGTAGCAGGCTGCGGATTGTTGGGACCGGAGCCAAGTCAGCACCGCCGTTCTCGTGCTGGAACGGGCAGAATCGCCCACGTCGGTACACCCACACACGCCCGCGCAGCACCCCGTTACGGGAACTCGTACGGGTCCTGGCCCCCCCCCGGGGAAAGCAAGCGAGCGACAACACTCATAGACTCAACCCACAGGCCAGCCAGGCCAGCCTGCCGCGAACCCGCCTTTCGGGGTATTTAGCTCATCTGACATTAGCTCGATGTGCCCACCTACATGCTACTAGGATCCCTGCGGTACACACAGAGTCTATAAGAGAACATTAAAGTTTACACTAATTAGATAGCTCCGTCGGTGACAATAGTAACTAAGTTTACCTCAACTCTCCCGGGTAAAAGAGATATTGTATACAAATTCGATTCATAAAACTTATGAAGTAGGAATAGTTATAAATGTTCGAACTCAAAACGCTGTTGTGGCTGGCCGATACTTGAATCTTATCTTTTTCTGACGGAGCATGCGATTTTCGAAATAGTTAGTGTGTTAAAATAGTTGGCATTGAATCGTGGTGTTATACGAATAGTGCAATCTTGAAATGTGAGAAAATGTTTAATGTGACAAATTACGAATCGTGATGTTGTAATTTTGTATGTGACTTACCTTATAAATTCCTAAGTTCTATTCTTTCTGCGACGTATAT